CAACTGTTTCTTGTAGCAGTTCCACACATACCGCAGCCCAATGTACTTGCTTATCCCATATCGAGTTGTCTGCGACTACGAACGCAGGTAAACCCACTCGAACTGTGGCTCATTCCCCAAATACGATCCCCCTGCAGCAAGTCCGCTGTTGCCACTGCTCTGGGAGTCTGTCCAAATCAGGTGTGATTGCTTGCTGTTACACTCAACCACCCAAAATACTAATTGCAAACTCCCAGGCTCCGTCATCAGTGAGTGGTGCCAGACATGTTCTGGTCACAGCAACAACAGCCGGTAGTGGTAACACAACAGGTAACGGTGGCCTCGTGATTGATCAGAACAAGCTCTCGCGCCAACCAATCACGAATCATCAACTCCGCATCCCGTCTGGATCAATGCTTGTCGCTGTTCCCGCATCAGCCGGTCAATTCTCTCGCACCCATCCCGGTTACGTTCAGCAAACTTTATCTCATGCCCCACACCTATCCCATAACCAACATCCACACCATCATCATCACCACCATCACCATCATCTACCCTCGGCCCAAACCCTTGGCCACACACGTAACGCTTCTCTACCACACAGTCAACTGGTGCATTTGACCACGAACACCAAGTCACCACCGACGTGTCTGGTAATCCCCGCGCAGTGTCACATCCACAGTGGCCATACCACAGTAGCCAGTTTATCCGATGCAGCTACATCCCATGGCCATACCGTTCAGACCCATCCTCCGTCGTCCTCGTCTGCGCCAGCTTCAGCTGCTCAGCTCCAACAGTTGGCCCTGGCTAAACATCAGGCTCGTCAACAAGAGAAGCGACGAAAAAGAATCTACCGTATTGGATTGAATATTTTCAATAAGTGAGTGGTCCCTTCCTCACCGATTTATGTTTGTTTTTAATCCCTAGATCGATTGTTTTCGCCTACCTGTTTAAATAATGACTCAGTTGGTGATAGCTTTCATTCAGCGTATATCCGTCGTATTGCCACAGAATTAGTGAGAGAGCTATCGGTCCTTGTGATTTAGTTCTCCGATTAACCAGTATGCATGAGTAGAACAATGCTGACTCTTGAGGATGTAATCTCACTCTCAAAGCTCAGTAATGACCGTTGATCATTCGTTTATGAATGAAATAATGTTCTAGCGAAGTTATGTGCCAAGTCGGTCCATAGTTGTTGTCGCTATGCTAATTTTTTTTACTTCATTTGGATCTGTTTACTGTTATTCGGTCTCCATGAGAAAACCGATAATAGTTGTTTGCTCGATGCCTGAATGGTCAGTTCAAATGATTATTCACATTGGGTTTTTTTCTATCTTCCCGGTAGACCATTCGTCCCTCTATAATTGAGCTGAGTTCTTTCATTACAGAGTACTAGGTATTAATTTATTTCAGAAGCGTTGGAGAATATGGCATTGTGTCTCGCACTTTAGCCGTTCACGGAGCGAGAGCTCCAAAGTGAATTGATCAAACAGCCCATTTCCTTCAAGCAAACGACACAAACACACCAATATTTCACCCATTCTTTGTGACTAACGGTGTGCTATTTGTAATTTCTCTTCATGAATTTTAGATTTCTCATAAACTTGACGATTCTAGCACAGTTGAACAAGCCTTGCTGTCAGAATTCTTTTGTGTTATAAAAAGCGGCGGTTTCACAATTCCACCCCAGGTCACCTCACACACAGAATTGACATTCGGGGGTGGGGGGTGGGGTAATAATCTGCTTTACTCTTGTTAGTCGTCTTTCACGCAACGTCGAAATCTGCTCTCCAACCACCATGGACGGAGTCCAGTCAGAAACTGGATGTCAGCGATGAACATTTTCGGTGTACTGGACTACATTAGTTCATGATTACGTGTGGGATTTGTATCATCGAGCTGCTAGACCGTGGAGGCAGTTGTCATTGCTATGCATGAACATGTGCCTTCCTGTTTATTTTTGACCTCCCACTTAGCATACTGTCGGTTAAAACTACTTCATTTTGGGTTCATATCAGTTTGTGTTCCCCGGAGTTTGAGAAATCATGGCTGTTTTCTGTAAGGAAAACGCAAATCCTCCCGAAAATCAGTTCATTTCTGTGAGGAAACGAAACCAATCAACCAATTCACCGAAGATTGTAGGGACTTAGTATAATGTACTGGAAAGTACGAGCAGTCACATGATTCCCTGAGTCCCTCAATCTTATAGGTCACATCTGTCCTGGAACGTTTCAGTGTCGGTTATCGCGCAAATTTTCCGTAGAACACTCAAGGCCAATTCATGTCGTTATAATGAGCACGTTTCCCCCTTGACCTGTAACGCTATAATATCTCCTTGAATACAACTTCCGCCATTTTCTTGTTAACTTTTGTTTTCGGGGGTTCGGCGATTGGAGAGTTCGAACTGGACGGTTGAAGGGATGATCTGGCGAGT